TTCTCTTCTCATTACCTCTGGAAAGAGTTTATTTGCTGCTACATCAGTGCATATCTGAATTTCCCTGTTCTAATTAAATGAGATGATGAATCAGATTTATAGAAGCAGGTATTAGGGAAGAGGCATCCTCCCCACAACAATGACTAAACACATCACCTTTGATTTAACTGAAATAGAACCCAATTTTTCAAAATACCGATTTTCACATACAGATAGGAACAGTGCTATCCAAACTTAATTTACACAAACCTTCTCTTGACAGGCAGGGGAAATAAAATCATTGTCTGTAATATTTACTTAGAGGTAAAATTTATTACTCATTTATAAGTAAAAATTACTTATTTAGAAGTAAAATCATTTTCCAGGCTACTTATTCAATAAATGTATTGCATGCCCAAGATCCGTGACCTCAAGATGCTCTCAGTCTAATGCCAAAAACAGACCAAATGTACCGCTAGTTACAAAGTGTTCCAACAGAGGTGAAGAGGAATGCTGTGACTAGAGGGAGGACTTATAAGCTTGACCTCAGGGCTTGCCTCCAACATCTGTCCCCCCGGGGAAGCCTGTCCCATCATCCTGGCCCATGCAGCACTCTCACTGAAACACGTGTGTCTGTGTGTGCGCGCGCGCGCATGTTTGCGGTCTCCCCTCTAAATGTGAGCATCTTCAGGGAAGACCCTGCACCCCCAGCACCTGAGACAACAACAAATATGCTCTTGATCAACAACTACTGGAGACCAATATCCACGGGGCCTGGGGAGGTGATATGTGAAGCAGGTCTTGAGGAATCTAGAAGTCCGCCAGGTAGGGAAGGCTTTGCAGACCTAAGATTCCGTGTTAAACTGCCATGTCCAATCATCACATGTGCCTTTCATGTGTGCAGCTTTCAACTTATGTGTGCAAATATCCCGCAACTCACAGGGAGGAAAGAGACCTAATCCCATAAGAAGTTTCAAGAGCTCAGTGTCTATTATTACTATAAAATTCTACCTTTCAAGGGGCTGGGAAAACCTAGAATATGGGTTCCTATAAAGACTCATGTTTATGTAAAACTCTCTCAGTAACCGTATTTTAGTGTAACACCTTCAAAGAGACTGATCTGACCAAAAACCTTCAATAAACTGGGCTTAGTGAAAGAACCTTAGAAACTTGAAATGCTTAATTTCTTTAGAAACTTATTTTTCTTAAATTCAAATTAATTCATGTGCATTTTCATGTGAACTTGAAGAATGGAAGTACCACGTACCACAATCATAAAAATTCTCTCACATGCCCAAAACTTCAATCTGCTTGTTGACTGCTGGCTAAGGGGTGACAGGTGGAGATAACACAAACGACGTTTTACTTTGGAATCAGAGAGGCAGAGACTGGCAGCTACTAATGAACTGTTCTGGCCACTGGCAGACACTCCGGCCTGGGCCACACACCCACTCCCTGCTGGGAGGAGCACCTCTACAAGCAGGTCAATTTTGGGGAAGACAGGTTCTGGGGAGGAAAAGGCAGTTCAGGCCAGGATACACTCAGTGAGCGGCCACCCAGGTAGAGGCAGGGCATGTACTTTTAGACTAGAAGAGGCTTAACTTAAAAAGGGGACCTGCCAACCTTTCAACCGTTCACACAACAGACAGTGACCCTGAGGCCAGAGGACTGAGGCGAGCTTTTCTCCAATCCACAGTCAGTAGAACCCAGGGCTCCTGACTTGGTCAGGCATTGTTTCTGCTATCCTCGGCCAACTCTTGTTGGGACACCAAACACTGATAAATCCAGCCAAAATGTTCAGTAGAGGGGAACACTCGTGGAACAAAATTAAGACCAGGGTTCAGGCTCAGCCCCAACAAAGAACTGAAGAATGAGTCGTGTGGACATCCTCAGGGACAGACCGGAGGTGACGCAAACGTGGCTGGCTCACGGCTTCACAAAGCTCGCCCCGATCTTCCCAGTATGGACCGTTAACGATGAACAGCCCTCCTTCAAGACAAGGTGCCCATCCAGGTTTAAAGAATAAACAGGATAACCAGGAGACCCAGTACCAACTCGGTGAAACTAATCCAGCACGGTGAGGTAAGCCAATAGGCTGACGATGCCTGCTGGTCTAGCGAGCGCAGGAGGAGTGCCAGCCAACACCTGAGCACTGTGTCTAGTTGCCAGGCACTCTCAAGGTCAAGGGTAGAAAAAAAAATCTGGGCCATGCAAATTTCCTTTGTCATCTGAGTTCAATGGGACTGGGGTTCTGAATGAGTGTTCATGCAGGGCAATCCTGAGTCATCACTTTCTCTAGTCTTCACTGAAAAAAACATTTTAGGGAAAAACAATGTTTCCTAAACCACAGCCTTCATGGGATAGAAGAAGCAGAGGGGAAGATAGTCAAACATAATGGTATAAAAAATACTATCAGAGAATCTTGATTTAAAAAGATGAACCATGATGAAATAGTCAATTTTGACAGCACAGATAATAATATAGACCTACTTTTACTGGAGCAAATAAAAATTAAGTTTTTCTGTGTGATAAATCTAAGCACTGGAACATACAGTTTTTAATTAAAAGTTGAAACTATTTAAGTTCTCAAATGATTGCTGTTGAGAATTGATGGTTCTTTCTTGAAAACTCTTGCCACAGGGTATTCCACTCATTTCTGGAATATTCAAGACTCAGACAAAGATCCATTGTCAGAGAGAATGCCACTTTGACAAAAGAGCACAAATTCCCCTCTCCCGCAGTAACTGAATACTGCTTGAGACAAGTGGGTGGCTGGCCAGACTAGGAAAACCTTTCTGTCGTGTGCAAATATTTGGGTTGCATCATTCTTTATCACACGGTGGTGTCATTGGGACTCTGTGGGTCCCATCCTCCAAACATCAGTGAATGGATGATTGATTGGAAGAAAATGTGTCAACCTTCCAAGGGCAGTTGAAACTACAGTTTGAACTTTAGGCTGCCTGGGCAATGACAATCTCAGTGCACAAGGTGTGTTCTCATGAACTAATGTGCATAATGGTCACTCGACCATCTCCCCTAGGCTGATACTCATCTTTGGAGTGCGTGAATTTCATGCAGCACCTGCACTGTTACACGTACTTCAGAGAAAGATGCTAAGCTCCTCAGACCGCACCAGGCACTGTATGCCAAGGGCGCATGCGTAACGGGTGCTTCATCCACAGGCGTTGCCTTGATCTGGCCACGGGACTGCTCATCTAGCCTTGAGTTGGTCAGAAAACGTGTTACTTAGTTTTGAACTATCTAAACAAATGTTGCTTTTAGGTTTTTAACACCACACAGAAAAGGATAAAGCCTTTCTAACAATGTATCTTTCTTTGACTTACACTCCTCCCGTTGTCATCACCTCCTCTGGAAGCCTTTACACGGACACACACACAACTGACCGAGAAGAACGTGTGCAGCTGCTAACACACAGGCTGAAGAGACCACTTCCGGGGTTTGGGCCGGTGCCCCCCTGGCCAGAGCAGGGAAACCTCCTGGAAAGTGACTACGTAGAGAAACTCAGCCACTTCAGGACTCCTCAGCGTGGCCACATCGGCTTCTTAGAGGTGAACTGTGGACGGAAGAGCCTGCCCTGCAGGGGCCGTGGGACAAGACATGTTGCTCAAGGGTGCTCGTATGTAAAGTGGGCATAATGCTTTCAGAACACAACGTAAGAACACGGTGAAACGGTATAAAGAAAACTGTTGGCTCAGAGTTCAGACTCCTTTCCCTGACGAGCCAACATTGCTATGGCTACATGGGATGCGCCGTCTGCTTTAAGGAGGATGCGTGAGGGCCGATGGTCTGTAAACAAGGAGTCAGCAAATACTCAGGGTCTGCATCTGACCTTCACAGGTGCTGTTCTGATCTGGAAACAGGTTCTTACGCAGGCATACCTCGTTTCATTGGCCTTTCGCTTAATTGTGTTTCACAGGTGTTCTGTTCCTTGCAAAATAAAGGCAAGACTCTCCCCCAGCAAAAAGATTACAGCTCGCTTCATTGTGTTACTGGCTTTATTGAGGTGGTCTAGAACTGAACTTGCAATGTCTTCTAGGTATACCTACACTTAGTCATACTTTTTTACCCTCTAAAAGGAAAGAAGAGTAAGTATTGCAGGAATTCAAAGATGATACAACATACAACCAACCAGTCCTTTCAAGTGAAGTACTTGAAAGTGAACCAACTGCTGATGCCAGTGGCCTCTCTAACCATCATCCTAACTAGCCAACTTCAGTAGGAAAGAGGGTGAGAGAGATTGGCCTTGATTCACCTCGTTACCAACCAACAGCAGAAAACCCTTTAGCACAGTGATTTTTCAACCTTGGCTGAACATTGAAATCACCTGAGGCACTTTTACAACCCCAGACGCCTAGACCACTACATTCTCACATGGGGTTGTGGGGAGGCAGGCACCTGTATTTTTTTAAGTCCCCAGTGACCCAAGCTGCAGCCAAAGTTGGGAATGAGCGCCTGGAATCACCCCTCCTGACCTCGTACAACTGCTGCAAGCCAAACCAGGAACGCCCACGCAGGGCCTTTCACAACCACAGCTTCGGAACAGAGCAGGCACAACCGGGCCCCGCAGGCGGACCCACCACAGGTGCCCACGCTGAGGTCCACACGCAGAGGGCCGAACAAACAGCTTCCTAACGAAAGGGTTACCCAGATCCTCAACGGAGAGCCACTTTTTTAAAACAGTTTGCACTTCAAAAACAAAACAAGTTGGCCAATTTTAAGAGATGTCAGCAAAACCCAAAGCCCAGTTAGATTTTTTCCTTTTTTCCCTTTCCTTTTTCCTTTTTTTTTTTTTTAAATTAAGGCATCTCTTGGGAAGGACAGAGTATTGGTTGGTAGGAGCGCGCCCCACACATGGAGCCTAGGGAAAAAGCAGACATAACCATACAATTCCCAAGGCCGCCTAGAAGACACCCCGCAGGCCCTCCCCAGCGCGGGGTGGGCGGGACGCGGCCACTGCACCTGCTGGGCCGCACCTGCCGCGCCGGGCCCTCCCTTCCTACCTTCCAGCAGCTCGTCCAAGCTGGTGACCTTCTTGCTGCCGTCGATGGTGTAGATGGTGCGGACACCCTGGGGCAGGTTCACGTTGTCGGACAGGGAGCGGGTGAGCTCCATGAGCAACGCATCGAAGGACCGGAAGCGGTCGCTGGAGATGGCAAACAGCAGGCCCTTGAAGTAGCGGTCCCCATTCCGGTAAAAGCGCGCCTTCTTGGCCTTCTTCTCCGAGCTCAGGGCCTGCAGGGTCCGCGTGCGGTAGAAGCTGCAGTGGGCACTGTGCGCCGGGCTGGGGATGAGCCCGTTGCCCTTGGGGCCCGAGCTGCTGCTGCCCCCGGAGGAGCTGGGCGCCCCTCTCCGCGACCCTGGCCGCGGCCTTTTGTCCCGTTCCTCAAAGTGCTCCAGCTCAATGCTCCTGGTGCTGGCCATCAGGACTGCTCCGAGGGCTCCCCGCAGGAAACCGTCCCAGCCAAAACCTGCAGGCAGCCCAGTGGCAACGCGAGGACCAGCTCAGGGACGCCTGGCCGTGAGGGCCCTTAGCGCGCCGGGACACCTGGCTCTGGCATCCCGCCCTCTCCTCGCAGGTGGAGCCGCTGAGCCGCCGGCCCGCCCACGTTCCCCTATAAGTGGCCGCAGCTTCCAGCGGCCCGGCTCATTGTCCAGCGCCGCTGGCTTGGTCCGTCCCGCCCTCCGGGGAGCCCCACGCCCCCCTCCCCCAAGCGCCTCCTCCACCCGGCCACGCCTCACAACTCCCGCTCGGGAGCCGGCTGGGGGCCGCCAAGTTGCAGAGCCCAAGGTTCGCCCCGGCTCCACGGACGCACACAAAGCTCGGGCGCCCGGCGCGGCTCGCATCCGCCGGCTGCTCCCCGGAGCGCTGCGGGGACGGAAGGAAGGGGAGGGGAGGGGCTGGGAGCGTGGGAGCGGTGCCGGGAGCCCGTGGGGGCGGTGCGCCTAGCCGGGCCCGCCCACGTGCCGGGGTCCCAGGCCCGGCTGCGGAGCCGCGGCCGCTCTGGTCCCCAGGCCCAGCCCGAAGGCTGGCGCGCGCGGCTGGGCCGGGAGGGCGGTGCAGCGCCCCTTCCTCCCACAGAGCCGGGCCTCTGCGGGAAATAACGCAGCCCGCTACTCCCGCGGCCGGCCGGCCCCACCCACCCACGAGCGTCGGCGCCTGGGCCCCGCCAAGCCTTTGGCCCGGCCGGCGGTCAGGGATGGCGGGGCTCTCCGCCCCCCAGAGACCCCAAAACCGGGTAGAGAGGGAGCGCGGCGAGGTGGAGGGGGCTAGACCGGCCGGCGCAGAGGAGACGCAGAGAAACGCGAGCGGCTCCCCCTGGGTCCTAGGCAGCCCCGGCCGCCTGACAGCTACAAACCCGCGCCGCGCACGCCCACGGGCGCCGCGGCAGCACGCGCTCCTCTGCCTGGGAAACGTAGACGCGCAGGAAAAAAAAAAAAAAAACCCACAAAGGAAGGAGATTCAAGGGCAGGGATCACATCCCTTAGCCAGCCTCCAAATGAAGAACCGAAGCCAAACTAGGCAAGACATTTGAAGCATAGCACTGAGTTTGGGCACAAATTTCAATTTTTAAAAGCAGATTTGGAGCTTTATTTAGAAATCCTTTGGTAAAACAGCCTCTACAGTTTCCACTGCACATTCACTAACATGGCACGTTCAGTAACTTTGAATGAATCAATTATCAGAAGCTATTGGTTTTTGAGGGATTTATTCAACCTACAAATATTTATTAATTAGGAGCATGCCATGTGCCAGGCATTCTTTCTGTCACTGGAGATGCATTAGTAAAAAACAAAACAAAACAAAACAAAAAAAACACCCAGACAATCCCTGCACCCTCCTCCCCCACCTCTTACATTGAAGTGGTACTTCATGTTGCCAGTGGGCGCTACTTACTGCATAATGTGTCGGACATTTGTAAGCACCCATCATGCTGGAAAGCTTAATTCACTAGTGTCTGGTCAACGGTGAAGTGTGTTTTCCAAAGGCTTGTGAGAATCTTAATTACTTCCATTTCACCATCCAGGACCCATGAAACTAAAAAAATGTTTGGTCCTAATCTGACAGGTGTAAGCTACTCTGAAACCTTAGGCTATTCAGCACCTGGTTCTGAGGGGTCATAAACAGCAAATCCAAACTGATGCGTACCCATAGTTCCTCCCGGGCAGTTTCAGGGACAGACCTGGGCATGACTGTCTTCTAGAACCAGGACTGGAGCATGCCGGGAAGTCAGAGCTGATCTGAGAATTCAGTGTAGTTTCTGGAGGGGAAAAATTCTGAAGGGTAATTAGATCCATGGCTTTGACAGACCTCACTGCAAACCAATTAAATGAGAATGGGGGGGGGCCTTCTCTAACAATATATTTTTTAAGTGCTTATAATGTAGAGGTAGGGTTTCCACTAGGAGTCAAAAAAATCAGTGCTTATTCTCAAACTTCATAAATATACTGGGGGAGTCTCAAAAAATACAGATTCTGATTCAGCAGGTCTGGGGTAGAATTCTGAATTTTATATTTCTAACCAGCTCCCAGATGATTCCAATGCTCCTGGTCTTGATACAACACTGAGACACAACAATTAAGTGGCAAACTGAGATAAGCACTTGTAACTGCAGAAACTATTCGACTTTGTAAATGCCTCAAAATGGGTGTATTCATTTGTTTTGCTTAGTATTTCTTTGAGAGGGCAGGTGGGGAGGAAGACTTCGTAATCTATTGCTGAAGTAACAAATGATCCCAGACCTAATGATTTACCACAGTAAACATGTGTTATCTCAGCGGTTTCGGAGGTTCAGGAATGGAGATTGCAGTCAGGATGCTGACTGGGGCTGTGAGCTCCACTCCCAACAGGGCTCACTCCCACTGGGCCTGGTTGGAGGCCTCAGTTCCCTCCAGGAGGGCCTCTCTATAGAATCTCTTCTGAGCTGTCGCATGTCAGCTGACGTTCTCCAGAGCAAGCATCCAAGAAAGAACAAGGTCAGAAACACATCTTTGATGATGCAGCCTTGAAAGTCACGCACTGTCATTTCCCAAATATCCTCCAAGTTGCAGTTGCGGGTTAGCCCAATTCATTATGGGAGGAGATTATACGGGGGTGTGACCACTAGGTCCTGGCAGGGACCATTGGGGCCGTTGTGCCTGCCGGTAGCACAGGTTTCAATCATTAAGTCTTTGGGCTCCAATCATTCAATTTAGGGCACTGACATAACACATTTTCTCACTCAAAGATCCTTAATGAAGAATTTTGCCCTTTAAAAATAGTGAATGCAATGATATAATATACCAGTATTTTAGCATTATTCCCTAAAATTACATCCCTAAGTTAACAAAGATTACTACTTTTTGACAGGGATGGAGAAAAAAAGAAAGTAGTTTCATAGCTACTTAGTTAAAAAATTTTTTTTGCTCCTGATCTTTGCATTAATCTGTCTGAAGAATTGTATCACTGACCCTTGTATAAAAATTAAGATACAATCACTTTTCATAAGTTATTTCCTTAAGTGAATATAGTACATATCGAAACCCAGTTTGCAAAAATGTGAAGATTTATTGAGGTGGAAAAAGTTTTAGCATTGTAATTCTAATACAAATAAAATTTGGGAGCTCTAGGTAGGCAGCTATTAATTAATGTGGGTTACTTCATGATTTAAAATTCTGCCCTTTCAAGAGGTGGAAGAATTTGCTGGGTGAAATATTTTAACTGGCATTTCCTCTGTGAGATGCCCCTTTTTTCCTGAGCAGAAAACAGTGTCTGATTTGCTGATCTTTGTTCTTCCAGAGATGGCCCAATTCTCCCTGGCTGGTGCGAAGTCTACCAACTTTGTCTGCCGGGTCCTGGTGTAAAATAAAAAGGGCTTCATTAGGAGCCTCTGGCCCTGACTCTTCACCATGCCTGCACAAGCTCCTTGGCTTTAGCTCTTTGTTAGTTGTGAATTCTCTATACCTTTTCTAATCCCTCTTAATCAAACACTTGTCTGAATAAACATTTTCGTGCAGAGTACTTTAAAAATGGCTTCCTTTCTTTGCTACAGAGAATCCCAAAATTTCAACTGAAAGCCTCTTCCCCATTTTGTTACTCAGTTAGAAATGACCTCTCTCTGCTCTTGATAAGTAATAATTTTAAATTTCACATCTAGTGATGCGAAATTTTGTTGGTGATATCCAAGAGAGGGGTTCTAGAAACTAGGTGGGCAGAAAAACTCAACTAGACATGAAAGAGAGGTCAGCGTGTTTGTTCTCTGCACTACTCTCTGAGTCACGCAGATTAGCAATAGTTTTAGCCACGTGGTGACTCCCTCTCCCCTTGCGCACCTCTCCACCTCCTCGTTGATTAAGAAATACAATGCAAATTTTTATTTGGTGTCATTTGTTTGAATGAGATCTCATTACCTATGTATTTCCTTGTGGAGCTTTACATAAGAGACTTGCCTCAAACAACTCCTGGTTTGGCTTCATGCTAGTTTCTTTCTCAAATGCATTTGGCTAGTCTTTAATTTTGGCCAGAAACTTCTGCTTTTAAAGGCAGTTCTCCAGCTACTCCATTATTTATTACATAAAGGATGCTGACGAGCCTTTCAGGCTGCGCTGTGCTGAGGTTTTCTGCTGTCTCATGTTTTCGTCATTCCCGTTCACCACGAGCCAAGCGCTTCTCCCAGAAGCCAAAATGATGAAACAACTATTTTTCAGCGAAGGGGCCTGGTGACCATGAACTTGAATTTTTGAAATTGAGCATTGCTTTTTATTTCACAATCTTTAATCATTGTGAATTCTAGTGTTTGCTGCCCAGCTTACAGGGCAAAGCGGGTAAAGCCAAGCTGTTTGGAGACTCTCCACTCTGCCCTGTGACCTGCACCCGGACTGGAGAGGGGATGGGGCAGACGGCCTCTCGCCTGTTGTGTCACCTCTGGGGCTCTGCTGTCCTTACAGCCCTGATCCTTACAGCACTTCCCAGATACAGGGATGACTTTTTTGCAAATACACATGAAGGAATGGCTAAAACCACCTGTTCAGGTTCAGAAAATTCAAATATAAATCATGGGTAATCTTTCAAAATTTAAGCTTATTTTATACCAAAATATCAGATGAATTGAAGAAAACTTCAACTACGCACACTTTATTGTGTATAGGACACAAGAACTTTGTTCTTCACGACGGAACTGTGGTTGGATAGTTAGTTCTTCCTATGGGTGCACTTCACCTCTACGAAGCACCTAGGACAAAGATTCCTACTTTTCATGTAAATTCCATGTATTCGAAATTATGCTCAGTCATTTGTCATTTGCTAGCTCATTTCTATGCTCATGCAGTAGCAATAATTGCTAAAACGAAAATAACACACACCTCAAAACCACATAGCAACCATTTTTCTTAAAAAACTTGAATTTTTTTTTCCTTAAATCTCCCTAAGAAGAAGATCTAGGCAGGTAGTAGTACCCCCACTTTCCAGGTGAGGGAACAGAGGCACAGCTGAGTGATGCCCCACAATAATTCCAATAGTATCAAAAGTGAAAGACCATGGAGAGAATCACATTTCCCAAACCCAATATAAAATTTATTTTTTGAACCTTTACTTCATTTAAAATTTAAAAAGAATTACTCTAAAATCAACCATGCTTTTAGTAGGTTTTTTTTCTGCTCAGTATCACATTGCATGTTTATGTAAAGGCTGAATG